GTCACCAGGGTGGAACCACCAAGAGCAGTGGAGGTGTTAGGGCCGGCCGCTCTTAGAGGCCGCACCCACTGCTCTCCTCACACTTGACATTGCGGTGCCTAGAACTGGCCTCTTAGCACCATCTGTCCCGCGAAGAGACAGCACGGGATGGTGGTGACCCTGTCTGGGTCACAAGCTTGGGTGACACCTGATGGGTGAGATCCTAAGAAGTTGGCAATGCTGGCTGGGCAACAAGAGACCTTGCCAAACAGCCCAGCCCTTCTGGGTGAGTGGCCTTAGGGTCCTAGTGATAACATCAGGACTGACTGGCCCTGCCTCCTGCTCCTTCTGTCCTTCGTTTCTATGCGTGTCTCAAGGTAGCTGCTCCCAAGTTGCCTTTGGCAATGTCTGTTCCCAGGCCTGTATTTCCCTCTGTGCAGAACCAGCAGAGACTGAGATTGGCAGCTCACTGCCTCCCATTAGCTCACACTCCCTGAATGTTTTAGGGCTAGGGCTTCTGCCACTCACTGTGGCCAGTGCTTAACCTATATATCTGTTCAAAGTAGCCCTGCGTGCCTCCTTCTTAAACCAGCCACTGAGCCCAGGCTAACTGTCTGATTGGCATATTTCCTTGGCGGCATTGGTTCAGGTCAGCAATGCAGCTGCATTGGGGTTTGTGGGACTGGGCTGCCACGTGTGGGGTTCTGGCGGCGGAGGCTCCTCCGGGAGAGTCAGGTGAGCACTGGGCTGATCACTGTTGCCTTCATTTTACTACAGATGGTGCAGGGAGTCCTGGAGGCCCCAGTGAGGTTGGATGGGCAGCATGGATGACTGGCACAGAGCCTTCACCCAAAACGCACTCGTCCCTCCCCACCCACAGAGAGCTCGCCAGCTTGGGAAGGAGTCCACAGCATTCCAGTGTGTCCTGAAGTGGCTTGATGGGCCACTAATTAAGCAGGTAATGAGATTTTCCGTTGATTGTCAACTGCTGTTGTCTGAGATGAGGCTTCAAATTAACATTGATTTTCACTTATCTCCCCGGGTCGCACCACTGTGCCTGTAACCTTGGACTTGGCAGTACAAAACATGGCATTCGGCCACTCGGTTAGTACCTGGGGCCTTGGGTCAGCATTTCTACCCACAGTGCCACAGTGCAGACTCACAGGTAGTCTTTCTGGGTGGTTTCTGAGCCAAGGTATAGGAAGATGCCTTGTGTGTGGCCCTGTGTGCTCCTCCTTCAGTTTACATTTGGGAGACTGCTGTTCTGGGCAGCAGCTTTGCCAAGACTGTGGAAGCCTTGTGTGTTGGATGCCACCAGCCAGGTGAACCCGAAGGCCTGTGCCGACATCTCTGCACTCGTGTGCTCTTTTCAGCGTCCAGGGGGCCTGTGTGAGCTAGGGTGGCCGTGCAGCCGCTCAAAGGGCATTCACGTGGTTTGTGTCCTTCTGGAACACTTGGCCTGCCTGTGGGGAAGGAGCCAGCCCTGCTGGGGAAGGTGCAGTGTTTCTTTGCCTGGGAAGCCTGTTGTCTACACTGCTGTGATAGGATCGACACTTTTAACTGCTAGTTGTCAGCAGTTAGAGATCCAAGCCCTCTGGTGGGTGCCTCCTGTGTTTGCTACGGCGTTAGGTACCAAGGTGTTTGCTGTGCCCCGGCGGTGCCTCTTAGCATGCTGTTCATGCTGATTTACTCACTCTTAGCCCTGTGGGGGGCTCCAATATCACTCTCATTTCACAGAAGCTGAGCAGAACCTGCGTGAGGGAAGCCAGCTGCTTGGAGCTACTTATTTCCCATTGGCCCTGGACTGCTCCCTATCAGGGCCGGCCCTGGACTGATCCCTGCCGGAGCTGGCTCTGGACATCCTATCTGAGAATTGACAGCCTTCTCTTTCCCAGAAGTTTCTTGAAGGAAAGCACCCCCCACCCTTGGTTTGAGAAAAGTAATTTTACAGAATTTGAAATTTGCAAGAAACACAAAAACAGCGAATTATCAACAATGTCCTATCTTAGATACCACCAGGATCGTCTGACATCTGTCTAACACTTCATAAGGTCTAAACAATACAATAAATATACCTGTATGTATTTTCATTTTATATATGTATGTCTGTATGAGTTTATGTGCACCATTTGTGTGCAGGTGCCTGTGGAGGCCAGCAGAGGGCATCAGATCCCCTGGAACTGGAGTTATGGGCATTTGGGAGCCACCTGGTATGAGTGCTGGGCCTCTGTAAGAGCACTAAGTGCTCTTAACCACTGAGCCATCTCTCTGGCTCCTGTTATTGTTATTATTATTATTACTATTGTTATTGTTATTGTGATTATTATTTTGGTTTTTCAAAGTGGGGTTTCTCTGTGTAGCCTTGGCTGTCCTGGAACTCACTCTGTAGACTAGGCTGGCCTCAAACTCACAGAGATCTACCTGCCTGTGCCTCCTGAGTTCTGGGATTAAAGGTGTGTGCCACCACTGCCTGGCTGGCTCCTATTATTATTATTATTATTATTATTATTATTATTATTATTATGACAAGGTCTCATTGTGTAGCCCAGAATGGCCTCAAACTCCTGATCCCTTGCCTCAGCTTCTTGAGTTGAGACATAGGTACATGCTACCACATCTGGCTCCTTTTCCTCCTTTAAATGTAAATGGTTTTATATGTAATATATAAAATATATATAAGCTGTACCTTGTTTTAAAAATGATTTTAGAAACAACATGTCTTAGAGATTGTTCATGTTACATGAGGATTTTTTTTCCTTTTCTTTTGTGACAGAGTCTCACTATGTAGCCCCAGCTGTCCTGTTTCTCTGTGGACCAACCTGGCCTTGAACAGAGAGAGATCTGCCTGCCTTTGCCTCAGCCTCCCAAGTACTGGGATTAAAGACGTGTACCACCATGCCCTGTTCTCATTCTTTTTTGAGACAAGGCCTTACTGTGTCGCTCAGGCTGGCCTCAGACTTAAGATCCTCCTGCTTTAACCTCTTGAGTATTTAATTTGAGGGATTACAGGCTTAAGCCACCATGCCTGACTATATTTACATTATTTTTAATGTATGTATGTATATATATATATATATAATAATTCTTGTGAATGGAGTTCCTGATTCAAAGTCAGGTCAAAAGTTAACATTTAAGGTCCCATTATGTATTGTTTACAGCATAGTGTATTTAGACGTAAAGAACAGGTAAGTTGGGAGTCAGTGGGAGAAGGTAAAGCCATGTCTACATAGGGCAGCTGTGCCCATGCTAGTGAGTGTCTGAGAGTTGAGGGTGCAGGGAGGTGCCGGAGATAAGGGACACAGATGGTGACCAGCCACTCCCAGGCTGGAAGGCCACTGCAGGTGATACCCAGGCCTCTGTGTTGTGCCACAGTGAAGACCTGGACACCAAAAAGACATGGGCAGAGGAGGGAGAGAAAGGTGCGGGCTCCAAGACCCTCCTGCAGCGCATTGTGCGTTTGAATGTTGACCCCTGGTGTGCAGCATCTGGGAAAATCATAGGGAGTGTGTTTCCTGACTCCTGTGGTTTTAAACTGTAAACCCTTTGCAGTAAACCTAGAAAATCCTCAAGTAGCTGAAAATTAGCACAGTATAAATAACCTATGGGTCAAAGAAGAACTCACAGGGAGGTTAGAAAATATCTCAGACTGAGCAATGGTGGACAGGAATGTGTGCGGGCAGTAGCTGATGGCGCCCACCATGGACCAGAACAGTGTTGCACAACTCTGTTAGAAAAGAAAGTCGTGCAACAAGTGCTTCCTCCTTAGGAATCTTGGGAAAAACACACAAGGAGGAATGGGAAATGTCTGAGTGGAACTGAGCACCTGCATGTGTCAGGCCTGGTGGGATCCTGAGGATGGAGTGGGGAGCTGAGCTCCCATTGCAGCTGGGACCGGAGTCCTGGACAGACTCCAGGAGATGCAAGGCAGGGTCGAGGAGGCAGGGTGGTTGTGGTCAGCAGAGGCCTGCAATGTGGGGGCAGTGGCTGGGCAGATGTGGAGAGGGTGGAGGCAAGAGCTGGAGGGAAGGGTCAGTGAGGAGGCTGCAGGCAGAGGACTGTGGTGCTGCCCCACCCCGCCATGCTCACCCCTACAGGTAACACCACTTCTCCCATTTGCTCTACACAGGAAGTGTCCAGTTATCCACTAGTTATTCACTAGGGCTGTGGCGTTCACAGCTGGATCTGGGGAAGGCTGGGTCTGCTAAAGTAGCCAAGCTCTCTCCTTCCTGCTTCTTCATAGGCCATGTCCTGTCTCTGGACACCTCTATGTGGCCCATCCATTAGCACAGATCCTGAGTTGTCCTCTCCTCTCCAGCCACCTTGTGACTTGCCCCTTGCCCTTCCTGCATGGATGGAAGCTGTGACCTCTGACCACCCTTTCCCAACTGCTGTCCGGTCCCTGATCCCCTTACTGTGGCACTTCTTCAGGTCCTGAATCACACCGCCTTTTCTGCTGGGAGTGGGTGGGTGCATTTTCTGTGGCCGCTCTTTCCGTCGGGACACAAGCACAGCCTCTCCCAGGGCTCCACGAGGCTGCCAGGGTTGCTCCTGTGCACCCTGCCTCCTGCTCAGCCTGCTGCAGCTCCACAGGCTCCACGGTGCAGACCGTGCCTAGGATTTTGCTGAGTTCAGGAGATGATGATGACCACTGAAAAGGCTTCTTAAACAGCTGCTCTCAGTGGGCAGACCTGGACATGGAGGTCCATGCTGGACCCTAGGGAGGGTCAAAGTCACAGGGAAGGCCTGGTCAGGCTGAGCAGCTGAGGACTGGCCAGCTTGTAGTCCCTGTGGTATAGGGACTGTCCAGTTTTCTCGGTCTTGGTCCTGGGATGCGGAGGTTCTGTGTGAGGGCTGAGGAGAGCATTCAGGGGTGGTCAGTAGGTTTGCCTGTCAGAAATGCTCTCAGAGGCAAGGCAGTGGCCATCTCTGAGAATTGGCCTGTGTGGGAGGTCATGGGGCATCTCTTGTCAGGGATTCTCCAGATGCCAGAGGTTGAGAGACACATAAGGTGAGAAAATACAGTGATTTAGGGAGAAATCGAGCACCTCAGTCCCTGAGAATCCCGCCCTCTTGCCCCAGGGCCTGGTGTTGGGCTGCGCCCTCTGCTGGCTCCCTGTCCCCAGGTCCCCAGTCCAATGGTCTCTTAGTTCTCTGCCCAGACGCTGTCTTCCTGGAGCCCCTTCCCTGACTAGCGCGGCTAGGCTTTCCTTTACGGAAACGCTTAGGCGTTTTCTTCCTTTGTTCCTCTTGTGTCGTTGGTGCCTAGAACCGCAGCTGGCAGAGAAGACGCAGCAGGTGGGAAGGGAAGGTTTGTTGAATGAATGAACGAGAGAAAAGCAGAGGGGACTGTCACCCAAGAACTGCAGTTGAAGGCAGTAACAGAGGAACTGGAGGTTAAAACAGAAACAGTGGGTAGCAGGCTGTGGGAAAGGCTCCGTTTCTTCTGGGCTCGTAGACATGATTTCTCACACATCAGAGCTCTGCTTTTCTTGTACTAACATCCCAGAATAATTCTGACAGGTTCATTAATCCCCACTTCTATCAGGATGGACTTAATTAGCATGGCTGTGCAAAATGAAGACCCCAATGGCTTAAGCCAGAGGAGGTTTATTACGCATCATAACAGACGCGTCACAGACTCAGCCCCGGTGTGGTTTGATCCAGAGTCTCACAGTGACAGCCTGGACCATATCCTTCAGCTCTAGATCCCATCTACTAATAGAATAGCGGCCAGCAGCCCTAGGTCTGTGTCTGGCTGACATGACTTGGCCTCTGGTGTCCTAATGCATTTGGAAGTGTCTTAAGTTTATGCCAACCTAGGGCATTTCAGGGTTCTGATTTGCCAGAGCAGGCTGAGCATCATGATTTATAACTCCACCAAGACCAGTTGCTGTAGAGAGAGGCCATGGCCAAAAGGAAATTGAGCTGCTGGTAGCTGAATATGGGGTAGGTGCTGATGGCCCAGAGCCCTCTAGAGGGTTCCCGTAGTGGCTATGGGGTGGTTCTTCAGGACTCCTTTTCTGGTGTCTCCTAGGGAATCCTAGACATGTTGTCGGAGCTTGAATGCCATCTGCGAGTGTCTCTCTTCGATGTCACCTACAAACACTTCTTTGGAAGGACATGGAAAACCATGGTGAAGTCCACCAATCAGCTGTCCAGGCAGCCGCCCAGGATCATCTTCAATGAGGTGGGTTCTGTTGACCGTGGGTAGGGACTGCTTTATGGTAGGGTACAGGGGTGCTGGGTCTGTCCTGTGCAGCCCAGACAGTGAGGCCTCGGCACACGCATCTTGGACCCTTACGCACGGCCTGGAGCAGCAGGTCCGCTGTTGCAAAGCTTGTCCCAGTGGTGGGACACTGTTTCCAAATCTCTTATGTCCAGCCAGGTCGATGTGCTTACGATGGGGTGCAGGGATGTGGAGGTCCCACCGCCTTCAGGGAGCCTCTGGGGTCTCGGAACAGTGAAGTTACTGATCCCAACTGATGGAGTGTTCGCTTTCATCGCCATGACAGAGATACCTGGGAACGATGGTATAAGGATTCATTTTGGAATTTTCAGTTCAGCGACCTGCTGATTCTGGTCCTGTGGTGAGGCCGAGCATCATGGCAGGGATGTCTGGCAACACCTGTCCTCTCATGGTGAAGGAAGTGGAGAGAATGCCTATCCGCATGGGCTTACTCTCCCTGTCTTTTTCCATCTGGACTTTCAGTCCTAGTGTAGAGCATCACCTACATTCTGAGTGGGCCATCTCCCCGTGGTTCAGTGTTTCTCAATCTGCTTAATGCTGTGACCCTTTAATATAGTTCCCCATGTTGTGGTGACCCCTAAAATAAAATTATTTCCGTTGCTGTTTTATAACTGTTAGGAATTGTAATGTAAACATCTGTGTTTTCCAGTGGTCTTAGGTGACCCCTGTGAAAAGGCCATTTGACCCTCCCCCCACCACAGGGGTCACAACTCACAGCTTGAGAAACGCTGCTTGTAGTTCATCCTTTGTCCAGAGGTGTGTTTTTGCCAGTCTAAATGCTTCTCACTTTACTCAGGATGACAGTCAAGAGCAACCATCACAGATGGTGAAGCCCAGACTGAATGACTTGCCCACATGGAGGGTGGCAGAGCATGAACTCAGATGGGTGCTTCTGTCCTCAGACTTGGCAGTAGGCATGGCACCAGTGGGGTCCATGTTCCCCAGGGAGCCTCTTGGCTGCCTTCAGCTCAGGCTACCTCTCAGGTAGAGAGGAGAGAACGCCTCCATCCCACTGGAGTGGCACAAAGAGCAGTAACATAGGCCGTGAGCTGTGAAATGTTCTCGGAAGAGGCAGAAGGATTGGGATGTGCTTCAGGCAGGGCCGTGGAGGAGGGCCCCTGAGAGGCCAGGACGAGAAAGAAACGGGCACCAGGACGAGCAGGGAGGAGGATGCGCCCAGCAAGGGCAGGGCAGAGTGTGAGAGCGAGGGGAGCTGGGGCTGGTGTGGTGGTGGTGAGTCGGGTAGACAGCGGTGTCCTGTGGGCCTTCCCAGTGATGCTTGAAGAGTTGAAGAGGCCATAGGGGCCTTTCCCTGCTGTTCCATACTTGGCCTTCAGGGGGCAGTGAGGAGCCCAGGTTTGACTTTGCAGGTGATGGCTTCTGATGACTCTGAGCTGTTCCCTCCTCAGCAGGTGAACTGAGGCCGAGGGAGCGGTACTGTGACGGTGGAAGGGACGGACCGTGGCAGTTCTGAGTTGTTGCTCGGGTCACTGTGGCTCCTTTTCTGCCGTGGCTGCTTTCGCCAAAGCTGGTGCTGAGCCTCAGGCTGGCTGTGAACTTGCTGCTCTCTGACCTTGGCCGTCATCCAGCCGTGTGATTCTGTGAGGCTTGGCATGGCTCGTTCTGAGGCTTCCCAGACTACACACGGGTAGTTGAGGGAGATAATGGCCCCAGAGGTCAGAAGACTAAACAAAGCCTTGGCAAAATCTATGTCATGGGAACTGAAGTGTGTCTGACGCGATGTTATCAGGTGGCTTGTGCAAATGTCTTGGAAAGGTCTGCCAGGCCAGTGTGCTGGTGACAGGAGTCCATGTTGTCAATCTTGTACATGGCTCTGTGTGGCTCCATGAGGGCCGTCTCAGCACAGGCAGGGGCTGGCCTTGTGCCTTTGACACAGGTCTGTCCTCTGTCTCATGACAGCCATGGGGGATGGCGCAGCCGCTTCTGCCTTTGGCGGCAGCCCTGGAGGATGGATGGGCTCTCTTGATGTTCTCTCTCCTGCGTGCAGAGGCCCATGAAAACCTTGTGTTGTGACACGTCTCTGTGAGTGGTGACGGCAGCCGTGATAACGTGCCTTCTCTGGGGAGGGTTCCCGAGGGTCAGGCATGAAAGAAGCACGCCCCTTCATCTCGTCTTTGTCCTCCTCTTGTGGAGGGCAGCGGTCGCGAGTCCTCATTTTAAAGGGGAGAAGGCAGGTGCATGGAGAGTGGAGCCTCCACCTTGGCCACCAGGACGCCCAGCCCTTGGTCGGAGGTGTCGGAGGTGCGTCTGTGCTCTCGGTCAGCAGCCTTCTAGAAGCCAGCACAGAGACACCCTCCCCCTCTCCCTCCATGTCCCCTTGTTTAGCTCTGCATATTCAGAGATGGGTTGGATCAGCTCCACTGCACATGTTCCGCTCCCCGTTGGTGATCCTGACTCGGAAGCATGGGATCTAGGTTGCCGGGTTGGAAGCAGGGCCTTTCAAGATCTCCAATCCTGGGAGTCACAGATGGGTGGCCCTTGTAGAATACCCGGCGGCTGTGAGAGACAGTTCTCTGACGCTGCTTATGTCCTTGTCTTGGGTTTGACCTTGTGTTACTCTGGGTTTCAGTTGTCCCAGAAGCCCAGATACACTTAGATTTCACTGCCCCCTGCTGGCCAGCTATCCTGAGGCCTGACACAGACCTCTGTCCAGGTAATCCAAGATTCAGGCTTATTCCTAGGCTTGGTGACCCATGCTGGTGGGAGCCACATCAACTCAGCCTGTGTAATAGAATATTATTTTAAGGTGTGTTACTTTTGTTTATGTTGCATTTATTTAAATCTGTGAAGCTGCGTTACTTTGCCTGTCTAAAACACCCAATGGTCTAATAAAGAGCTGAAAGGCCAATAGCAAGGCAGGAGAAAGGATAGGTGGGGCTGGCAGGCAGAGAGGGGATATAGAAGGAGGAATCTGGGAGAAGGAAGAGAAGGAGCCAGAGAAGGAGGAGGACACCAGGGTCCAGCCACCCAGCTACACAGCAAGCCACAGAGTAAGAGTAAGATTTACAGAAGAAAGAGAACAAGAAAAGCCCAGAGGCAAAAGGTAGACAGGATAATTTAAAGTTAAGGAAATGCCAAGTTAGGGCTGGGCATTCATAAGTAAGAATAAGCATCCATGTGTGATTTATTTGGGAGCTGGATAGTGGGTCCCCAAAAGAGCAAAAACAATCAACAACAAGGCAGCTCGGCTTGGGCAGTAGTGTTGATTTGCCTTTGGTTGAGGCTGTGCGTTGGGAGTCAGTGGAATGGAAAGTGTGTAGGTTTAGCATGTGGTGGCCGGACACTGAGGGTCCTGAGGGTAATGCCTGAGCTTGCTTGCTCTGGTTTCTCCCTGCTCGTTGCTATGCTCACTGCAAGCAGCAGAGGCCAGTGGTGGCCCAGTGATGAAGCCCGCCCGACCTTTTATGCCAACTTCCTCCTGTCTCCTGAATACGAAAGAGGAGATTGTGTTCAGTTAAGTAAAGGGACACTCCCTCTGCTCTGTGTGGTGTGTGCCTGCACCTGTGTTGTACAAGGTTGACATGCTCTCAGGGGGTACTTAGTGTGTGCTATGGTTGCGGTCACTGGCTGTCTGGTTGCCCCGGCCACATGCCTGTAGAGACAGATGGCTGAGATGCTGCTTGACTTTCTGAGGTGACACAGATGTGTGAGGTCCTTTCCCTTAAGCAGTGGCTCAGGCAGATCTGCTGTGAGGTTAAGGAGCCACCAGTGCCAAGGGGCTGTGCTCGGGGCTTCTGGGGCTGCGGGGTCTATGTGTGGCTACTCGATTGTCTGGGCTGCTCTGATGTATTGAGCTGGCTCCATACATGTGTGTGTGTGACTGGCATGTGGTGGAGGTGGTGGGGGTGGGTGGGAGATGCTGTCTCAGAACTGCAGTCAGCTCTACTCTCAGAAAAGACTTGGAACACCAGAGTAGTGAGGATGGAGTCCTGACGGCTCTCACTCCTCAGAGCCGTGCGGGGAAAGGATGCAGACAGGAAGGTCCTGACACCTCCTGGACCCCTGCTTCGCCAGACCGATCCAGATCGTACACTTGACTCTCTCGGTCTTGCTGCCGCTCACGGGTAGCTAGCGAGGGACGGCGGCGTGCCCAGAGGGCAACCCCTGCTCAGCTGTGGCTGTGTTCCTGCAGGAGGAGGGCAGCCTCCCCCGCCACGAGGTCAGAAGTACTCACTCCTGGGATCAGCCTAGTGGGGCCTGACAGAAGCAGAGTCTTTGGCTGTTGCCAAGGTTGGGTTTTCACTGTATGGGGAGTGACTCGCCAGTCCCTGGCGACCAGGGAGGGCCTGAGGTTGGTTGCTTCTGTTCTCCAGTGTCTCTTACTTTGGGTTGGTGGTGTTTGATCGCCCTTTTATAAGTTAGTCAAGGAATTACTTTCCAGCTGGAGTGAGGACCAGCTTTGGGCCTAAGTGCCAGATTTGTTGTGGTTTGCACATGGGCCAAAGCCTGAATCTCAGGAAGGTCACTCAGCCCTGTGACCTTGAAGTCTTCTGCACACCATATGCAGGGATGTGCACCTCGAGTGTAAGTCTTCTGGTTTCCAGCAGTTGCCCATGAAGCAGGGTGCGTTCACTGGGCAGACGTCTGAGTGTCTACTGCACCCGAGTCTGCATAGGTGCTAACATAGAGAGACTGATAAGCTCCTGTATCATCTTCCAGCCAGGGTTCAAGTTCTCATTGTCCTTCTAGAGATCTGAGTTTCTCAGCCTTAGAACCACTCACGTTGAGGGCTGGCCTGCCCTGTCTGGTCTGTGCTGAGGTGGTGTCAGCCTGATCCTACCACTGTGACAACTTCCCAACAAGGTCGGCTCCCAACTTCAGAACTGAGCCTGTGACTGTCTTAGGGGAGACTGGGGTGCATAGAGTGGGCCCAGCTTGGTCAGTGTTGATGGCCATTGGCCAGGAAACCTGAGCCTAGAAGATGTCAGTAGACGGGAGCTGCAGGAGGCATTTGTGGGTTGTTTTCCCAACGGTCCCGCATTAAAGGCTTATTATTATTGTTGTTGTGCAGGTATGCGGTGAGTGTGCGTGTGCATATGTGTACAAATGTGTGTGCGTGTGCATATGTGTACAAATGTGTGCGTGTGCGTACGTGTGTGTGTGTGTGTGTGTGTGTGTGTGTGTGTGTGTGTGTGTCTGTTGTTCAGGGGTGTGTGGGAGGGTCAGAGTGCCCTGCTCTATCACTCTCTCCCTCATTTCCTGGTACTTGTTGCTTTTTGGCTAGGCTGACCAGTAACAAGTTCTTCTATCTCTACCGTGCCCACCCCAAGCCCAGAGGTGACAGATATTTTACCTAGGTGCTGGGGATCCGAACCCATGTCTCCATGCTTGCATGACGAGCACTCTGAACCGTCTCCCCAGCCTCTACTGGCTTGTTTTGAACTACTTCTTTGCACAATGCTGGTTTAATTTTTCTCAGCTCTCTGCTGGTCCTGTGAGCATGGGTAGCAGGTTGACGTAGCCTTCAGCAGAGCAGGCCAAGTACAGCTTCCTAGAGGCATGCTGTCAGAGCTGTATTCAGTTCTGTCGTTGTGGGCAAGAAATGGAAACCTGGCCCCGAGGCAATGGTGTCTGTTTTTGAAGATGAAGGCATCAGGACAGGATCACTGAGATGATTTATTAATCTGTTTACCCTGCCAGGGAGGAGCCTTGGCCAGTGTGTGACATGGTGGGTGAGAGCCGTCTCTTCTGCTCAGAATGACTTTCTTCACAGGGAATTTTTATGGGCTTGACTTTTAATCATGCTGTTCTAGTTGACACTCAGAGTTTTCTCCTCAGCATGTAATGACGTTGTGTTAATTAAGTTGCCCTGGTCTGGAGGGCTGTCTGGGATTTTGCCCAAGCCTTTTGCATGCTGGGAAACTGGGGCAGTGTGGGTGGGGGTTGCTCCTAGGCACAGATGATCCAGAAGAACAGAGGTGAGCATGTGTCTGTGTGTCCGTCCTAGGAGGCTTTTGCTTCCCCAGTTCCCCAAAGCTGTTTGTTCCTGAGCAATGCAAGCATTTCCATAGCTGCCTGATCCGCCCTTTGAGCCTTGAGCTTGTTGAAGGCTGATGTGTTTCCAGGTTCCTTATGACTTCTCTAGCATGGCCCCCACTCTGGAAGGACAATGAATGATGTTTGGAAAAGAGCTCATTCTTAGCTGGGAATGGGGCTGCTGGACTGAGCTTGGGTTATCCTTCTGTGCGTTGCGATCAGGCTAGCTCTCTGATGGAAGATGCCGGACCGGCTGAGATGAGAAAGCTGTTTTTGGCATTTTTCTCGCCTTCCTTTTTTCCAAGGCAGTTGTCTTGGTGGCCACGAAAGGCAGGGCCTAAGTGGTGTAGTATGCTTGTCTGTGGTTCTTTCCCTTGGACTTGCCCCCTCTGGTCCCACTGCTCAGGTGGAGCAGTTTCAAGGTGACCTCCGAACTGGGCTATGCCTACTGCTTCCTAGGAGGATTTAAATGTTTGTTTTACTGCTGGAGAAGAAAGAAGGCAGTGTCCATAAAACCAGCATGCACAGGTGTAAATATCAGGTGAGGTAGTGACGGGCCCAGCGGCCCAGCAGGGCTCTGCAGACAGCGCAAGTCTGGGAACCTGAAGCATAACTCTGTCTCAGCCCAGCCACCTGTCAGCTCTAAGTGGTCATTATTTCATCATTTTGCAATAAAAGATAATAGAATAGCGATTTATAGTTGGTGGCTGATGTTTTAATGCATCTCTCTGTTATCCTGGCTGACAGTCTGGGATTACAGTAACCACTTTCCGGGTGACACCGTGGTAATGACTCCTTAATAGGAGTGATAGCCCGAATTCCAATCTCATGGCACTGGCCGCCCTCTGCCCTGCCTGGCACTGTCTTCAGGGGGTGTCCTTGTGCTCAGCTGGGGGCTAGACACCCAGACACTAAAAGTTGGCAGCATATGGAAGCCAGCCCAGGGTTACTCCTTAGGGTGTGGACCAGAGGTCCTGTGGTTGGCAAACCCGACCCCTCGCTCCACCTCTGTCTCTTATGCTTGTGATGGGGTCAATTAGAACCGAAAACAAGTGCATTGAACCGAACCAGGCATGTGTGTGTGTGTGTGTGTGTGTGTGTGTGTGTGTG